AAAAGTGCTGTATGTAAGTAACCATGAATGATTTCGCACTTTGTACAGCACCTGAGATAGCTTCCTATATAGTTAGATGCTTAATGTTTTTTGTAAAAAAATAATGATGAAAACCTTAAATAAATAGAGAATTTTCCCCATATATCACTTTCATGCTGTATCACATAATTTTTGGCTAAGTTTTTTTTTTATGTTGGTGGACTTTTTTAAAAAATGTAGCAGGTCCACAAATAAGGCAATCTTCATTTATTTTAGACACACTGCAGTATTAAGATGTTGGCCTAAGGATGTTGGCCAGACTAATTTATAAGGTAGAGGTGAAAATATCCATGATGGTGTGTCACAAGCCACAATTCCCTCCACTGCCATGATGCGTTGATTCCCCTGCTGGCTTTTCTCCATAGAAGTCAGAGAAGGGCAAGTCAGCAAAGTAAATCATTTTTTGGTGGCTATTTCTTCCCCTCATTCGGGATCACCAATAGATCATAAATCTGTTCTTTGTTTTGAAAAGGGCTTTCTGGAAATGGTCAGGCAATAACATGTTCTGTAATAATTCCAAGGATCTGTGGACAGCAGAGCGAGTTCAGAAACCTTTTGGGTCAAGAGAACCAGAGTTCAAATCCAGACTCAGACAGTAGGTGTGTGACCCTGGGCAAGTCATTTAACCCCGTTTGCCCACAAAAGCAACAAAAGAAAGGGAAAAAAACCAGTACTGTTTGAGGTGAATGACAGTAATCAGTATTGGCAAGTCCTTTCTGTCTCCCAAGAACTTTGTAGTAGAGTCTCCTTTTAGATAAATGTTCATTGAATGATAAGAAAGGTCAGATGCATATATTTAGTTTCACTCTCTTCTGAGATTATATATAATGTATATGTATATATTCATTTACATACATACATACATACACAGAGGCATGAACACACATATAAATAATTATGAGAAGGTATATATGACTTTGCTTCCTGGAGAGGAAAGCTCACCTATTTGGAGGAGTGGATGGTTGAATTTCCTTTTAAATAGGGGAGGGAAAGTGTAAGATGCTGAGAAGATTCAATATCATGCTCATTGAAAATTAGTTGAAGAAACTGGGCATGTTTAGTCTAGGAAAGCGAAAATCTGTAGGATCATGGATTTTGAAAGGGACCAGAGAAGTCATCTAGTTCCCATTTCATAGATGAAAAAACTGAGAAAAGACTTAGGTGGAATTTCAGAACATAAAATGTAAGCTCACTGTAAAAAGATGGTTTTATTCTTTGTTTTTGCATCACCAGTGCCTAACACAGTGCTAGGTACAGAGTAGGTACTTAATAAATACTTGTTGATTGATAAATAAATAGCTGTCTCCAAGTATTTGAAGGGCTATGATGCGGAGGAAGAATTACACTTGCTTTTTGTAGTAAGTAATAGCTTTACATTTTTATTCTGGGTCCATTTAAGAGAACACTATGGGGCAGCTAGGTAGTTCAGTGGACAGAGCACTGGGTCTGGAGTCAGAAAGACCTGAGTTCAAATTCCATCTTAGGTACTAGCTGTGTGACCCTGGACAAGTCTCTTAACTCTGTTTGCTTCAGTTTCCTCATTGGTAAAATGAGCTGGAGAAGGAAATGGCAAACCACTCTACTGTCTCTGCCAAGAAAACCCCAAATGGGGTCATGGGGAGTCAGACAGGACTGAAGTGACTGAACGACAAGAGAACACTTCCTAACAGTTACACCTTTTCTGAGGTAGAATGGGGTTGCCTCAGGAGCTGGTGAATTACAAGGCTCAACTATTTGTAGAGGAGCTTCCTAGTTTGAGTACAAGTTGGATTAGCTGAGGTCTCTTCAATCTCTGAGATTTATAATTCTACGAAACTCCTGATGAATTTCTCTTGCTGTTTGTCACCAATGCTTAAGAAACAAATTTTTAAAACTTATATCTGAGTGACTTTAGGCAAATCACCTCAGTTCTTTGGGCCTCAATTTCCACGTTTGTTTCTTTTTAAGTTGGCTTCCATCTCAAAATCTGTGATAGTTTGATCTCATGGTTGGGGAGAGAGTTAGTTGTTATTCATTTCTCATTGCCTTGAGCAATTCCTTTCAGCGTATATTAACAGCCTACTATGTGTGCAGGTCACTTTTCCCCTCTTGGGCTTAGTTCCCTTACCTGTATAATGAGTAGGAGTGGACTTGGGTGATATCCAGGGACCCTTCCAACTCCAGAGCTCTGTGATCCTATCTTGAGGACCAGTAGAGTCTCCCTAGTGACAGATCAGTTCCAAGCACTGATAATTGCATGAGCCTCTATTGGTTGCATTTCCTTTTTTTGTTTTTGTATTTTGTATTTTGTATTTTGCTAGGCAGTGGGGTTAAGTGCCCAGGGTCACGCAGCTAGTGAGTGTTAAGTGTCTGAGGCTGGATTTGAACTCAGGTCCTCCTGACTCCAGGGCCAGTGCCCTATCCACTGTGCCACCTAGCTCCCCCTATTGGTTGCATTTCTCTAGGCTCTTCTTGCTGCTCTGAGTACCACCAGATAACTAGATTTGTGTTTGTGGAAGAGGGTACACAGAGGATGCCTCTGAGGTCAGTGAGCTATGATTTGCCTTTTTTTTTTTAAATGGAAAATAGAAGTAAAGTCTCTTGGGGTTCTGTGGCCTTCCCATCAGGAAATCATGTCAGACTGTACTGTTGTTTCCTATCAGCTGGCAGCACACAGAGCTATCAGGTCTCTGAGGGTAGATAAGAAAGGGGGCAATTGGTCTCCCAGCCACATGCTGTCCCCTTTCTTTTAAAATTTTTTTTCCTCTCTCTAATGAGAACTGGTCTTCAAATGAGTAATCACCAAGACATAGAGGTGAAAAAGGACCTTGGGAATAGTACAGTTCTTGGTGAATTAACTTACATTAATGAGACTTGTAAGTTAAGTGCAATCTAATTTGACAGTGAAAATTATCTTTGTGTACTGGGGGTTAGATAATGAAGTGGTCTGGAATATACTTTTCAATTAAATGTCCCCAATAACTTTAGTCTCATTAAAATTAGTCTTTCATATAGCACCTCTTAAAAGGATTGCTATCGTAGTCATCATTTTGCCCTGGAAAGTCTCTTGAAGACAGCAAAATGTCTCCTTTTTTTTAAATGTGTAGAGGAGTGTAGTATAGGAGTATGCCAGATTTATACTGGACATAGCTAAAAATACCTCTCTAATTCAGTTAAAAATATGTATTAGTCATCTGTGTAGTGCCACAAGGTACCTCCCAAAACTCAAAGAATGTGTACCCTTGAGTCATATATCTTGTCATTTAGAGTGCCATGATCAAAATCATGGAGGATGAAAAGGATGGACTGAGTATTCTAGTTGGAAAAGACCATGCAGTATATAAAAGGCAGTGTAATGTTATTCTAGAAAAGGAGGTGGGAAGCAAATTATGGAGTGGCTGAAAGGCTAGGCAAAAGAATTACTTCTGGAAGTTCACGAACAAGAAATAATATCTGAGTTCTACAGTGAAAAAGGTCACTATAGGACAGATTAGAGGAGGCAGGAAGACCAATTAGAAGATGGTAGTTCAGGGGCAGCTAGGTGGGGCAGTGGATAGAGCTCTGGCCTTGGGGTCAGGAAGACCTGAGTTCAAATCCAGCCTCAGACCCTTAACACTCACTAGCTGCGTGACCCTGGGCAAGTCACTTAACCCCACTGCCTAGCAAAATACAAAAACAAAAAAAGGAAATGCAACCAATAGAGGCTCATGCAATTATCAGTGCTTGGAACTGATCTGTCACTAGGGAGACTCTACTGGTCCTCAAGATAGGATCACAGAGCTCTGGAGTTGGAAGGGTCCCTGGATATTACCCAAGTCCACTCCTATTCATTATACAGGTAAGGGAACTAAGCCCAAGAGGGGAAAAGTGACCTGCACACATAGTAGGCTGTTAATATACGCTGAAAGGAATTGCTCAAAAAAAAAAGAAGATGGTAGTTCAGGTAACATGATAATGATAACTCCTTTATATAGCACTTGAAGGTTTTCTTTAGCCCTTTTCTCATAATAGTAGGTGAGAGTAGGTGAGTAGTTATCCGTGCTTTCTACATAAGGACCTGAACTAGGAATGGAATTGAGGGAACATTGGGCTTTAAATATAGGATTTAGTAATTAATTGGCTGGAAATGAGGGAGACAAGGGCATTCAATTTTGAACCTGGATAACTGTAAGAATGAAGACCCTATGGACAGAAATAGGGAAATTGAGTTCCAGCTAGTCAGGGTAGGAATATGAGCCATGTTAGGGCCAAAGATAGAGTCTGGTCTTTTGGGTAATGTGAACCCTGTTATTCCAGATTTGTGGACTTACTGGCCATTTCTTTACTCTGTTGAGAATGACCGAGAAGGTTCGGAGGCTATCTTGTGAATAACTGTAGACGTAGAGAAGCCTAGAGAAAGGTATAAGAGAAAAGAAAAGGGTATTTCCTATAGCTACATATGATGCCAAGAGAATTTCGTGTTGAATGTGTGAAGGTGTATGCTGCAGCTTGTTTTTAAATAGTAGCAGAGTAGGCTACCTTTCTGTGAGGTCATTCTCGCAGACTGTCTGCTAAGATTTTGAAGGGGGAAGGAGGAGGAGGAGGAAGACCTTCTGTTGCCCAGTTTACCTGCCTTGCCTGTCTGCCTCTCCGAGTAAGTGAGATACACTCTAGTAGTAGAGCCCTGAGAACAGCCTAGGAACTGAACTCATTTTCTGGGGCAAAGTCAGGACAGACTTACTTGGGCTGTCCCAATGTGGCATCAGGGCCAGACTGAACCCTGGATTTAGAGGGAACAGTGGGTTCGCAGGTGGGCCTTTGTTGTTGTTGATGCTAAAAGCTTGGATTAAAATATAGACCGGTTGTGGAGGAGAGCTCAGAGTAGCATTTTGCTTTGCCATAATACCAGCCTTGAAAATTATAATGTGAGCTTTCTCTGTAGTGTCTGTAAACTTTTTGTATTCACATTTAGCCAAATACCTGTTGTATCTCTTTATTTTTAGATGTGATGAAATCGAGTCAGCTTCTATAAAAATGCAACCTGTCTTTTCTCTCCTGAAGAAAAACAACTTTCTGTAAGTATAATTAGTTTACAGATTGCCACAAAGTGATAACAAAAATGCTCTTGCTGGTACTATCATTGATTTGTGTAAGTTAAGAGAAACTCTCAAGATATAGGAGTGGACTTAGCCAAAATTTTTGTTTAATTCGATTCTGCAGATATTTATGAAGCCCTGCTGTGTGCGGTACACTGTGCCTAGGTACTAAGAGTGAGTGATAAAACATTTAGGTAAGATGTGACCCTTGCTGTGATGAAGCTTCTAGGCTAGTGTGGGGATAAGTCATATATCTACATAACCTTGATACAGAATTATACATAATAAAGGCATTAAAGAGGTATAAATAAAATGCTATGTAAGGTCTTAGGGGAGACAGATAATGATCTAATCTGAGGGACTGTGGAAAGCTTCATTGTAGAACTGAGTGTCATCTGATTTGTGCTTTATAGGGTATGGAGGAATTCAGTAGACAAAAGGGAAGGAAGGAGTATTCTAGAAATAACTAATAGTCTGAGTGAAGACACAAAAGTTAGAAAACGCAGGACATGTTCAGGGAACAGTAAATAGTACAGACAGGTAGCATAATGGAATTAGGAAGACCTGAATTGAAACTTAGTCTCAGACACTTACTTGCTGTGTGACCCCTGGACAAGTCACTTAAGTGCAGTTTTCCTCAGTTTTCTTATCTGCAAAATGCAAATAATAATAGCAACTACTTCCCAGTGCTATTGTGAAGATAAAAAAAGATAATATTTGTAAAGAACTTTGTCATCCTTAAAGTGCTATACAATTGCTAGTTACTATTGTTATTTAGTCCAATTTAATTAGAGCATAGAATAAATGCTAAAGTGAAATATGAGCTAAGGTGAGAAAGCTAGGGTAGCACCAACTTGTAGATAATCTTGAATTCCAGTCAAAGAGGTCTGAATTTTAATCAGGAAGCCATAGGGAGCCACTGAAAATTTTTGAGCGGAGGAGAGTGACATGACTAGATTTATACATATAGAAGATTAGTCTGGTGACAGTATTATTGATTATTGGATTGTTATTGAATATTGGATTAAAGGAGAATAGAGGAAGAATGAAAACAGGAATGTAATAGCCCAGGGGAGTGGTAATCAACGCTTGTATTAGGATGGTAGTAGTCCAATTGACAAAATACTAGGTAGCTGAGTAGGTAGGAGAGGGGAGAGTCAGAGATAACACAAGTGTTAGGTACATGCGATAGTGATAAACTAAGTTTTGGACGTTGTTGAGTTTGCAGTGCCAACGAGACATCCAGGTAAAGATGTCTTAGAGGCAGTTGTTCATGTTTATCTCCTTGTTAATTGGAGAGACAGGGGCATGAGGAATAAATTTGGGAAGTCTCTGAATAGCTATAACTATCTTTTTAAAATTAATTTTTAACTAAAAAGATTAAATCGTTAAGCAAAACCTGTTGCCACAATGGCCACGTCCAAAGATGTAGTCTTATTCTCCATCTTGGGTATGTCCCCTCTTTGTTAGGAGGCACGTCATCATTGGTCTCCTGTAATCATGTTTGGTCATTGCATTAATCAGAATTCTTAAGTCTTTCCAAGTGTTATAGTATAAATTATTCTCCTGATTCTTCTCAGTTCACTCTGATGCAGTTCATGTGAGTCTTTCTAGGCCATTTGAAACTATGCCTCCAATACCCTAATTTGTTCAGCCAATTTCCCAATTGATGGCCACTTCTTTAGTTCCCACATCCTTGCCACTAGAAAAAAAAAGCTGCCATAAATATATTTGTGCATATTTGGTGGACATGACCATCCTAAGGATCTCAGAAGAAGATGAGGAGACAGAAGGAGAAGTTAAGAGAGGTAGTAGTAGTAGAAACAGGAGAGTCTATTCCAGGACTAAAGAGGTCATTTGATTTTGTCACTGTCAACTTCTGACATATTGTTTCAATAGAGTAGAGAGGATGGAAACTTTAGCTGGGGGCTGAAGAAAGATTGAATGATAAGGAAGTGGAGATATTGAGTGTAGACAGCTTTGTTGAAGAAATTTGTCAATGAAGGGATAGAAGAATGTGGAAAAGTAGCTGACTAGAGTAGAGTGTCAAGGAATGGCATCAGGGAGATTTGAGCATGCTGGTAGGCATATGAGACAAAGCCTTTGAAGAGGGAGTCATAGATGCGTGGGAAAGTAGATAAGTTTTGGAATAATGTTAAGGCAAATGGGTGGAGTGCTATGGGATTAATTGATCTGAGCAAAGAGGCCTGGTAGCTTTTCTAAGATTAGAGGGAAGGAGGAAAAAAATGGGGAATGATGCAGACTTTTGAAAAGTAGAGGCGGGGAGTTAAGGTTTTCCTGCCAGAAAACCTCAGTGTTCTCATTGAAATAGAGGTGTGGTGTCATCTACTTGAGATATGGAGCCTGTGGTTGGGAATTGGAGGAAAGCAGAAAAGTTTGAATTGGTAACAATGGGGAATAAGTTGGGAGTCAGTAAGATGAGAGTAGAAATAGTGCTGCATAGCATTTATGTGCTCATTTGAAGTTATTTGCCATATATTTACAGTACGTAACGTCAGTTCAGTTCTGTGACTCTCACCAGTAATAAATAACAACCCTGTAATAGGTGCAAAGGAATCAGATTATGGAAGTTGCTCAGGGATAAGAATTAACAAGGTCCAACTTGTAGAAAATCACAGTTGAGGGATATAGAAATAGCCTACCACAGTTATGGAGGAACCAGAATGGGGGAGATAGAATATGAGAATATGGATGAGATAAGGAATCAGAAATTATAATGAAGGTAACAGAAGGTGTTAGCATGAACTTGAGAATGTGGAAGGATCAAAGTTGTGGTCTGAGAGTTGAAGTTCAAAGTTAAGGTCATAGAATTGGATATACTTCCAAGAGCTGCTGAAGTCTAAGATTTGGCCATTCCTGAATGTGGCTGAAGTGGCAAAAGCCAATTTCCAGTTAAATCAAGATGTTACCAGAAATGCTGATGGAAAAGTTTAAGGGGAGAAGATGGTGTGGAGTTTTGTCAGTGTTACAGCAGAGTTTCTCAAGGCCACAGTGGAATGAGCTACAACAAATGTTGTTGTGGTTTGTCCTTCATTCTCAAACAGGACCATGACGTCAGGGAGGTGATGCCATGATATGCAGGTGAACTGGATTTAAGTGAGGGAGGGCTGTGCAAAGTCACCAGCCTCACTTTCTCCTCTTGAGCCATCTGGATCCAGTGGGAGATATAGATCAGGAGGACTAGAGATGGCCCTGGATGCAGTGGGAGACCTTGGCCTTTTTAAGCTGAGGTCTTTAACAAGTCTTAGTTTGACTGAGGCAGTGAACAAATGTGAACAAGATTGGCAGGGACCTGGGGAGGAGAGCATTAGAGCACATCTGCTTAGGGACAGGGATTTAGGAGGATGTGGTAGGAGCCTGCTTCTGACTGCTGAAGGAAAGAAGGTTTTAAACAAATTTTATTGTTCAGCTCTAAAGCTATTATTTTTAACTACGAGGAGTCAGGCTTTCTTGTTATGAAGGAGAGGTTAAGAAGATATGAACCAAATGTGTGTGAGTTACTGGCGATACCAGGTTTTCCTGATTTGGTCTGCTGTGGCATTTAGCCCAGAAACCTCCTCACTCATTGTCTGTGTTAGGCTGGAATTAGTCATTAGCACAGACTACTACCTACTTACTTTATAAAAAGAAAGCTGGACACTCAGAAGAATAGTTGGTGTTTTTGAAGAACTTTGCAAAATAAAGTGGAAGATGGGGAAAAATTGGTGATAGAGATAGAGATATATCTATCTATAGATTTATATAAATATACCTATATCTGTAGAGATGTGTGTGTGTATATGCGAATATGTGTATGTCCTTGGTCTGTGATTTACTCAGTGGGGGGAATTCCATGCACCAATGCAGAACTCACCTTATCTATAATTTAGGGAGTTGCCCGAGGCACCTAGAGATTAAATGATTTGTTCAGGATCACTAGAGTCTGGGGCAAAATTTTAACCCAGCTCTTCCTCTAGAGGCAGTACTTTGTCTACTCTGCAACACTGTGCATATGTTTACGCAGACACATGCATGTATGGTCTTTAGGACAATCTACTAATTTGAAGAAGCAGCAAAGATTTGTAATTGGGAGACCTGGGTTTGAATCCCAGCTCTAATATTTACTAATTGTAACCCTGGGTAAGCTACTTATCCTTCCAGCTCTCAGTTTTCTTCATTTGTAAAATGAAAGGATTTTGATTATATGGTCTCTAAAGTCCCATCCAGTCTGAAATCCTATGGGCCTTAGGAAAGTCACTTGCTTGGTAAGTTGTACAGTTATCCCTTCCGCGTTGTGGGGGATTGGGGTGCAGCACCTCCATGATCTAGAAGATCCATGTACAACTTTTTGGCCCTCCCTTTGTACCAGAGAAGAAGCCTGAATTATTGTTATTAAAAGATAAAATATGTTGATGTTATACAATACTATACATATATTTAATGCATTTCTGAGTTTCGAAAAATTTTCTGTGTCGTCTGCTGGCCTTTGTGTGCTGTCTGTAGCTTTTGTAAAACTCTCCCGAAATTCCCACTTAATTTCTTATGCCGACCCACAATATAGTGAAACCACAATGGGGAAAGCTGCAGTGTGGACGAGATAAATGTAGATGACAAAATAAATTGAGTTGTGTTGGCTTTAATGTGCCTTTTGGTTCTGAAGATATACATTATGGGGTGGCTAGGTGGCACAGTGAATAGAGCTCTGGCCTTGGAGTCAGGAGGACCTGAGTTCAAATCCAGCCTCAGATGCTTAACATTTATGAGGTGTGTGACTCTGTGTAAGTCATTTAACCCCAATTGCCTCACCAAAAAGCAAAAAAACAAAAAAACATATATTGAATTGTTTTGAGCTTTTAAAGATTTTCATATTTTGTACAAGCTTTGGCATATTATTTAAAGGAAAAACTAATTCTAAAAGACAAATTTTTATTCCATGTGTGAAGTAGTAATTACTACATGTCTTTTTTTCTAGAAAAGAATATCATTCATCTAGGAAATAACCTGTGTTTTTAGGGAAAGGGAGGAGAATGTCTACAGCTATATGTGGCAATCTCTCAATACCCTTCTCATCTTTGTGAGGATGGTACTTTATTATTGATTGATTTGAAATGTAATGAAAGGACACAAATACATAGAATAGTATAGTTACACTATTAAATTTAGCATACATCTACTTAGAAAACAAATTGTACATAAGAGAAGTTGACAGTTCCATATGAAAGCTTCAATCTTTATATATTGATATATATATATATTTATTTATATCTATATATTTATTGATGATCATTATGTTCACAACAAAAAAGGAAATTTCTTTTTTAAAAATGTAATGGAAGTCAATAAATCAAGCAACAAGTCTTTAATAAGCACCTTATTTATGTGCCAGCTGCTGTACTAGGCACTGAGATTACAAGTACAAAGAATGAAATAATCCCTACTCACAATGAGCTTACATTTTTATTTTTACTTTTTGGTAAGGCAGTCAGGATTAAGTGACCTGCCCAGGACCACACAGCTAGCAAGTGTCAAGGGTCTGAGGCCAGATTTGAAGTCAGGTCCTCCTGACTCCAAGGCCAGAGCTCTATCCACTGTGTCACCTAGCTGCCCCTGAGCTTACGTTTTAATGAAGACAAATACATATAAAAATTACAGACAGCATAAATACATATACAAAGTAGTTAAAAAACAGGTAATTTGGGAAATTAGACACTAGCATTTGGGGGAATCAGGAAAGGTTTCATGTAGAAGATGATGCCTGGGCTGACTTTTAAAGGAAGAAGGGGACTCTCTGAGGTGGTGTGAACAGAGGCATATACAAAGGCATGGACCTTGGAGAAGGAGTGTTCAAGGAACAGAGATGGCTAGTTTGGTTATATTGCAGAATGTGGAAGGTAATGTCCAGTGAGGCTAGAAAGACAGCTTGGGACCAGGTTGTATAGGACTTTAAAAGCTAAACAGAAGAATTTATATTTGGTCCTAGAGGCGATTGGAAGCGTCTGGAGCTTGGTTAAATTGGGGAATCATGGTCAAAATTGCCTTTATAGAAAATTGTTTTGGCAGCTCTGTGTAGGATGGTATCTTTCTGTTAACTCTGACTTCAGTCTTCGAATTTATATTATTTGTTCTTTCTTATTCAGGGCTGCTGCCATGCCGGGTGAATAGGGCTCAGTGACAGGACATTCCTGGAAGTAGTCGTGGTCAGACCCAGCAGGAAGAAGCACACCATTGCCCATGACACCATGACAGCAAGAGATCACAGCCCACGTCATGGCTCCAAGTCCCGTTCAGTGCAGCGGGCCTCCACTATTGATGTTACCTCTGACATGCTGGGACTGTCTCTGGCAGGTGAGTGCCACATCTCCCCCTGGGCTAACCGTGAAGGAGACACAAACACCAAGTTAAATTGGAAGGGAAAGAAAATGGTGACTGGCTCTTGGAATATGCCCCTTTGGATGGTCCCTAGTACTAAACTAGTCGTGTGTGGTGCTACCAGTCTAATGGTATGTTAAATTATCCATTGCAGAGAGAAAGAAAACACACACACACACACACACACACACACACACACACACACACAGAGTTTAAATTGTATTCAATGATCCACACCCATAGTCACTTTTCATATAATTCTAAATTGTTTTCCAGCGTAGTTCAGCCATTTTACAGTTATACCAAGAGTGTGTTAATATGCCCATCTTTCTCCAACCTGTTATTTTTAAAAAATCTTTTAAATTTAATTTATTGATGCATTTCGTTTCAACAAAAACAAAACCCCACCATATTCACAATTGTGTACTCTCTGAAAAGAGGTAAAATAGCTTAAAAGAATGATTAAAGCCATTAATACCCTACGTTAAATAGTTTTCTACTTGGTTGAAAGAAAAGATGGGTATATATCTTATAAGGTGAAGCAGTATTTTCCAACACTTTTAATTTTATTGTCATTTAAAGTTGTCTTCATTTATATAGTTTTAGTCAATATGTATATTATTCTTTTGGTTCTGCTTTATTCACTCTTTCTTACTTCATACAGGTGTTACCATATTTCCTTGAATTATTTATATTAATTGTTTTTTCTGGCACAATGCTATTCTACTAAATTAACTTATCACCATTTGTTTAGCTTTTCTCAATTGATTGAGCACCTGGTTTGTTTCTACCTTTCAGGAATTACAAAAGTAATTGATACTTTCTTACAATTAGGTGTTTTGGAGCATATGTTCAGGAGTGAGATTGCTGGACTAGAGAGTATAGGAACAGTTTAGGAACTTCCCTTGGCATAATTCCAAATTGTTTTCTAAAACTGGGACCCTAACTCATAGCTCTACCAGCAGTGAATCAGTGTGCCTGTTTTCTTGCAGATTAATTATGTTCTGCCATTTCTTTTCCTGTCTAGGAAACATCCAGGATCCAGATGAGCCCATATTAGAATTCAGCTTGGGTTGGTATCATTTTTAAAATATTATTTTTAGAATGTACGGTTAGCACAAATTTAGTATCACCACCACCTCAAAATTCTCTGAGGATTTGTTGCTGTGGCTACAATTTTTCTGTAGAAAATAAAGCTGAGGAAGGTGTGAATTTCTTGTTACAGTACTGATAGAAATTAAGAATATGCCTGGGGCTTTTTATGCCTTGGAGCCAAGTGCTTTCCCCCTTATCATCTGACTCTCACCCAACTAGACGATAGAGGGGATAGGCGAAGAAGACAGGTGGATGATCCTGTAGCAGGAACAACGCTCCACACCTCCTCCCCATTCAGTCCATGCTCTTGCCCAAAATACAACCTTCTGTTGTGATCTAGCTGAGCAATAATGACAGCTGAGGACTTTGGATGTTGCTGCTTCTGGTAATCTAAAAATTTCCCTCTCCTAGACTGATGCTCTTCAGTGCTCTTTTCTATTTTCTCCCTGGATGGTGGTCACAGAGGTCACTGACTATATCCAGAACACAGGGTGTAGTGGAAATACCCTGCACAATCAAGACCTAGGTTCTGGACTGTTCTGGCTGAGGGATGTGACCTTTAACCACATGAACTTCCTCATCTATAGTAGGGGTGGATGATAACCTGGCTCACTGAGTTATTGTGAGGATTAAATAAGATAATAAAGTGCTTTGAGAAGTATAAATAACTATATAAAGCTATGTCAAAGAATGCAGTTTCATCAGGGTGGAAACTCATGACTTAGAAAGTTGCTAAGGCTCAGAGAAATTAAACGACATTCCCATAATCACACAGGGGGTGTTAAAGGCAGAATTTCAAATGGAGACTCCCTGACTTCAAATCTAGCATCATATCTAATGTGGCATGGCTCCTGTCTTATTAAGGCTCAGAAGATTAAGGGACTTTTTCAAGGTTGCGCAGGTAGTAAGTTCCTCAGCTAGAATGTGTAAATATAAGAAGTATTCAGAATAGTAATAATATGATTAACTACTATAATAACAATATTATTAACTCCTGCAGTTGCTACCTCTTAAACATAACCCTAATGGGAAACTAAAAATTTTGCCTCTTGCTTTCTAGAGGAGGTATGTAGCTCATTATAAAACTAGTATGTACTTTTCCCATTGGAAGTACTCACTCTTCTCATATGTGAGTCACAGAAATTCACAGAGCTGTGAGGTAACTAAGTTATGAGTGGATAGAGGGCTGGCCCTGGAGTCGGGAAGACCTGTGTTCAAATTTGGCTCAGATACTTATTAACTGTGTGACTGGGCAAGTCATTTAAGTGATCTCTGCCTCCGTTTCCTAATCTATAAAATGGAGGTAATAATAGTACCGATTATTATAATACCTAACGTTTATATAGCACTAACTGTGTGCCAGGCACTGTTAGGCGCTTTGCAGTTATCATGTCATTTGGTCCTCACAACAACCCTGGAAACTGAGACAGGCCTAGGTTAAATGACTTTCCCAGGGTCATGCAGCTAGTAAGTGACCAAGGCTGTATTTGAACTCAGGTCTTTCTGACTTCAGGCTCAGTGCTCTATCTCCTGCTCCACCTAGTTGCCCTATGGCAATAATAATATTTATAAAGTGTTTAACACAGTGCCTGGCACAAAGTAGGTGCTTAATGCTTTTTTAAAAAGTAATAATGGAGCCTTAGAGAGCTAGTCCAGTCCCATCATTTTACAGATAAGGAAACTGAGATCCAGAGAGGTCTTCCACATTATACTTCCTAGTCCACATGACAGTGTGTCTTAGCTTTTTAGCTGCTTTCTTACTGACTTCTTGTAAAGTCTTAAGTAGATAGGTGTGGTTTTGTTGACTTTATCTCTTCTGATTTATTTAGATAGATTCTGTGGCTATTGTCTTTATTAAAGCTTCTAGTGATGTTACATTTTGTCCTTTTCTAGTTCAGGGTTTTAGGGTCTTGGGTTTATCATCATCTATATCTTCTAACTTAGATGCATCAAATCTGTCCTGAGACACCAACTAGCTGTGTGACCCTGGGCAAATCATTTAACCCTATTTGCCACAGTTTTCTCATTTGTAAAAGGAGCTGGAGAAGGGAATAGCTAACCACTCCAGTATCTTTGTCAAGAAAATCCTAGATGGGGTCATGAAGAGTTGAGCATGATTGAAAATGACTGAACAACAGCGATAACAACAACTTTATGGTGGCTGCTCCAGTGCTTCTAATGTTGCACTCTGAATCCATGCCCCAGCCTAGTCTATCCGAGATTGTCGTCTACATTCTTGATTTGCCCATGTTTAACTTCATTGATTACTCTGTCTTGCCTCCAGTCCATAGGCAGGTATACACAGTATATTTGTTTCAGGACCTTCTGGAATTGACTGGCTTGTCAATACACTAACACAGTCTTCCAGAAGTACCACCCCATTGAGACTGTATAGTAGCTGATATCTACCAAGATACCATTGACTGAGGTACTGAGATACTGGCTCCCTGTCTGTAACCTTTTCACTTTTTTCCACACATGAGCCATGAGCCCACAGAATTAGGGAGATAGTTGAGCATAGAGCTTAGCCCTTTCTCAGAAAACTTCTCTGTACAGGTTTTATGAAATAGCATTTAAAAGAAAGGAAGCTTTCCTTTCTATTGGGCCAGCATGTCCAATTTTATGGTTCTAGATTGCTGAGGTGGGTAGGGATAAGAGGCATATAATACATGATGTGTTCAAAAGCATCTTTGGTCTTTGTGTTCTTATCTGAGCAAAATTTTTGTAACTGAGATTTTGATATTTTCTTTCCATTGGGTATAGAAATGGAGAGGTCAGAATAGAGATAAAACCTTTCTGCCAACAAGGTATGGCTTTATTTTTAAGTAATGGGGCTGCAACCAATTTATTTTTATTAAACAAATATAGGCATACCTTGGAGACATTGAAGGTTTGGTTTCAGACAGCTACAATAAAGTGAATCACTTGGTTTCCCATCTAAAATTATATTTACACTATAATGTAGTATTGTATCTAAAAACCCCCAACAATGTGCATACCTTGATTAAAAAGTAGTTTATTGCTAAAAAATGCTAACCATCATCTGAGCCTTCAGCAAATCATAATCTTTTTGCTGGCGGAGAGTCTTGCCCCCAGCGTTGATGGCCATCGACTGATCGGAGGGGGAGGGGGAGTTGCTGAAGTTTGGGGTGGCTGTGGCAATTTCTTAAAGTAAGGCAACAGTGAAGTTTGCCACATCAGTTGACTCTTACTTTCACTAGAATGCTTAGAGGCCGTTGTAGGGCTATTAATTAGCCGAATCTCAATATTATTGTCTCCCAGGGAATAAGGAGGCCAGAGAGTGACGGTGAATAGGCTGGTTGTGGAGCAGTCAGAACACTCACAGCATTTATCGATTAAATTCATTGTCTTATATGGGCATGGTTCCTGGCACCCCAAAACAATTATAATAGTAACATCAAAGATCACAGATCACCATAACAGATATCATGATGATGAAAAAGTTTGAATTATTGTGAGAATTACCAAAATGTGACACACAGGTGTTATGTGAACATATGCTTTTGGGAACATGGCACCAATAGATTTGTTCCAACTCAGGGTTGTCATAAGCCTTTAATTTGTAAAAAACTCTATCTGTGAAGTTCATTAAAGCCAAGTGTAATAAAATGAGGTATACCTGTAGTTAGGAAATGGCTACCTCTGTGCACTGTGCTAGGATTTATAGGACATACAAAGATGTCCCTTCAAAGTTCAACTCTTTAATCCTAGTGTCTTTCCTTAGATTATTATTAATCTTATGTGTGTATCTCATCTTATATTGCTGTTTGCATGTTGTCTTCAAAGGAAGGAAGGAAGAGAGGAAGGAAAGGAGGGAGGAGGGAAGGAAGACTTCACTATAGTTGTGGGAGTGACAGTCTGCCATTTATTGCAACAACAGGCAAAAAAAAAATTAGAAAATATCTAGCTCCTGGATGAAAAAAGCCTCAACAGGCAATGTTTTACTCTAGCTAAGACAAGGTAGATAGAATAACTACCTCTAGCATACAGCCTTCTCTTGATTCTCCAATTGTTAGTGCTCTCCCTTCCAAATCACTATATTTATTTTGTGTCATATAGATAATTTCCTGTGAGCATGTTTTATCCCCCTAGTATATGCCTTGATAACAAAAATTGTGATTGTATGACCAACAATATGGCTGAATAGTTGCTTTCTACAAATTTCTCCAATTCCAGAACTTCAAAAGAAAGGACTTAATGGGCTAGATACAGAGGACTTTAAGCTGAATTCACAAGATAAGATTATAAAGTCCTTGTACCAGAAAAGAACTTAATTCAGAACATATGAGAACATTGCCAAGAATTTCTGAATCCTGGCCTCCAAGGATTGATTGAGTGCCTGACACATGTGCCTGACACACAGTGGGTGCCTGGATACTTGTTGGTTGACTGCTGTTTAGCTGGGGAGGCAGGACAGACACAAGTCATAAATAATAGTACAACAATAGAAGAGATGTCAGAAAGAACAGAGAAATTAGTGAATCATACTGCTCCCAGGAGAAGAAAGGTCATGCTTGAGCCAGACTGTGAAGGATAGATAAGATTGAGATAGTTAGAGCAGATGAAGGAGGGCATTCCAAGAGAAGGAAATGGCATCTACGAAGGCCCTCTGGAAGGAGGGATGGATATGCATAGAAAGATAGGTGTAACAGTTTGGCTAGATTGAAAGACTCGTATAGGGGAGAAGTGGAAGATGCAATTTAGTCCAACAACTTTTATTAAACACCTGCTATGGAGATGAATTTGGGGAAATAGGTCAATAAGGATTCAGGTTGGAGAGTATTAAATACCATACTGAGGATCATAGGATTATAGATTTAGAGCTTAGAAGATTGCTCAGAGGGTACCTAGTCCAACCCTCTCCTTAACCCAAGTTAAGGAATTGAGGCCAGGATAGGTTAAATGACTTTTCCAAGGTCTCACAGCTAATAAGTGGCAGTTTAAGGATTTGAACCCAGGTCTTCTGACACCAAATCCTGCAAATTTTCTACTATTTGACCTTTATCCTGTAGGTAATAGTAGCTGTCTTCTAATTAGAATTACAGTTGCTTATTATTTGCAATTTGTTTGGAGGTTTTCTGTTTAAGAAAAAATTAAGGTATGGTTTTTATGTGTTGGTGCTTAATTCTCTATCCCCACCCTCAATCATGTTTGAAGGAGTTAGAAAGCTATTATGTGGCTTAAGTTGATGAAACGTTAAAATATTATTTTAATACTCATTGATTTTCGTATAACATACAGGATATTGAAGCCAGGTTGATATTCTAAGAGTACAACACTCTTTGATGATGATTTCAATTTCAGACATCTTGTCAATCTAAGCACTTCAGCATTTAACTTATTTTCTTAAGTTTGGTAGAAAAGTTATCCTACCTACCTTGTCTTAGCTAGAGTAAAACATTGCCTATTGAGGCTTTTTTTCATCCAGGAGCTAGATCTTTTCTAATTTCTAATTGTTGCAATAAATGGCAGACTTTCACTCCCACAACTACAGTAAAGTCTTCCTTCCTTCCTCCCTCCCTTCCCTCCTTCCTCTCTTCTTTCCTTCCTTCCTTCCTTTGAAGACAACATGCAAACAGCAATATAAGATATGATACACACATAAGATTGATAATAATCCAAGGAAAGACACTAGGATTAAAGAATATTGATAAAGGCTTCTTGCAGAAAGTTGAATTTTAGTTGTGACTTATAGGAAGCTAGGGAATCTAGGAAGTGTAGAGATAAGGAGGGAGAAAATTCTAGGTTTAGGGAATACCCAGAGAAAATTCATAAAGCAAGGAGGCCAATGTCTGAACTGTGGAATATGTGGAGGGGAGTAAAATGTAAGAAGATTAGAATGATAAGAACAGCACGTGGTACTTTACCCTTAAGTCCCAACTTTTTGTTGTTCAGTCATTTCAATTATGTCCGAGTCTTCATGACCCCATTTGAGGTTTTCTTGGCAAAATATTGAAGTAGTTTGCCATTTCTCCAGCCCATTTTACAGATGAAGTAACTGAGGGAAGCAGAGTTAAGTGACTTGCCCAGGGTCACACAGCTGGTAACTCTCTGAGGCCAGATTTGAACCCAGGAAGATGAATCTTCCTGACCGCATGCACCCCACTCTACCCACTGCACCACCTAGCCACCCAGTCCCAACTTTCACTGTGATATCTGAAATGTCATATCAGCAAATTCTAGAGACCAGTTCATAATTGGATACATCCTTGTCCTTAGGTTTTCTCAAGTGCCAGTTTGTAGACAAGTAGATGCATACGTATTACAACTATATGACAATAGGGAAGTCATTTAATTCTTCTGAGCCTAAGTATCTTTTTGGTGTAAAGAACATAGGAGTTAGAAAATCTGAACTTACTAACTGTGTGACCCTGGGCAAGTCACTTAACCCTGATTGCCTCACCGAAAAAAAAAATCTGCATTTGATTTCTGACTCTTGCTTACTACTCTTATGTTGGGCCAGTAACTTAATTTCTCTGGTCTTCAGTTTCCTCATTTATAAAATGATAGCTTTGGACTAGACTGTATTTCCCAACCATAATTCCTATAATATGTAAAACATGAATGACAATTCTGGTACTACCTAGCTCTCAGGGATGTTGTAAAGAACTCACTTTGTAAACTGTTAAATCACTATAGAAATGAGACAAATTGAAGTCTGCTTCAGAGGCACTGTAACCATTCTTTAGACTCTATATGTTTGTGTGAGATTAGTGTTGTTGGAACACTGTATTAATGAGGTCAGGGACCCATCTCCAGATGGTCCAGTTGTTTGGTTCTATTCTTATGCCTTTAACCTCATGCAGCTGTTCTCCTCGAGTGAAATGAGGAGATCAAATATAGATGAGATGGATTAAGTCTGTCACTGCTGCCGGTGTGACTAAAAGGTTATTTCCTCTTGATTATGTATGAAGGGTAACAGTAACATAGATGAAATATGTAGCTGAATTATCTTTCTTTGTCTCATTCATATGCTGGGGTTTCTTATGAAACATTTCCTGTTTGGTTTTTTTTGTTTGTTTGTTTGTTTTGTTTTTGAGAACAGAGAACTAACCAGAGCAGGATTCTGAAAGCTTAATTTAATTATTTTTTAAATTTTCATTGTCAAAGCTTGCAGTGAGCTGCATACTCCATCGCTAGATCGAAAACCAAATAGTTTTGTAGCAGTGAGTGTAACAACACCTCCTCAGGCATTCTGGACAAAGCATGCACAGACAGAGATTATAGAGGTGAGTGTAACTCCATGTCCTCTTACAGGAGGAAAATCCATAAATTCCCCAATTGCAGTATTTCTGCTGCTGTATGAGGTATATATCCAGATCTGGATATATATGTCTATATATATATCGATATATATCGATATATATATAGAGAGATATATAGAGAGATATATATATATCCTTATATCCATATCCATATATATATATACATATATATATCTCCATAGCTATGAATGTTTCTTTGAACAGTGATTATTTTTACTTGTACTTTGGCCATTTCTGATTATAATCATTTATTTGCATGGCGCTTGTTTTTGAAACGTGTTTTAGTAGTACTGATTGGCTCATTGCTTTAAACAGTGCTGCTATAAGTTCATTTAGCTTTTTTGAGTTGTAAGAATAAATCAACCTTGTCCATTCTGATTGAGGATCATGTCTGAAGAGTTGTTTTGCTTCTCTGCTCATCATTCAAAGCTCATTAGTCTAGTTATAGTGGGATAACCAACACCTTTTGCAGCACCGTCTCATAGTAGGATATTTATTTTTTAAATTCCACAGTTTCCTATTAGGTGACAACATTATTAATATTAATTATTATCATGTAAGTCAAAGTGAATTAGATTTATTTACTTTGAGGAACTGGGTGATGCAAATTTTATGATACCCTTAGTGACAGATGGACACATGGCAGGTGTGCTGTGCAGCAGAGGTTAGGAATTGCTGGGTCTTGAAACTTTAGAGTTCTTTTTTTCTGCTCTGTCTAATAAGAACATTTTGAGTGCCCAAAGCAGTGTAGGTAGCTTGTTGGCGTTAGTGGTGTCTCCTAGCAGCTGTTTCCAAAATAACATGCATTTCTTTTCTCTGTCCTCCACAAACTTAGACCTTAGCCAGATACTCATTGTCTTTCGGAAGCATATTTCCAAAGCAAACCTGGATTGTTGACTATTTATGAAATTTTATCATTAAATGTTTCCCAAGTTAAAATTAAATTAAATTAATTTAATTTCTGGAAAAGAAAAAGATTGTAAACATTTTTTTCTTCTTTTCCAAATTGCAGAAAAGAGAGTGGTATAAATTCTAATAAGATTCCAAAAATAGGTGCAGAAAAGTTAGGACCCAGAGTTAGCTAAATTCGCCATCCTTTTCTAGGAATAGTAAACATCCTTAATAGTTCATTTCCTTCCTTGTCTGGACTGTTTATATTGTAAAAGACCTTAAATCTATGAGTTGGTTTTAGTTGCATGAAAAAGACCAGATATTTAACTTTGTAAGACTGAAAATATGGACATTCAACCTCTTTATAATCTTACCAAAAGTAACCTTCTTGTTGGGTTGAAAAGTTTTATAATTGTAAGAAAACTCTTCATGACCTTGATTATAGTGTTAGAAATATCTTGTACAATAGTAACAGTTAGTGGAATTTGAATGTGTAAGGGTCACTGGAGGTATCTCTGAGCATACAAATGTTAGTTTGCTATAATTACAGCTACTAAGAGCATTTCTTTTCCTCAATCTAAGAATTTCATTCTGTATTTTTAAAAATGTATCTATTATTGTTTTATGGAATAACATTCTCTTTTTTGTTCCAGGGAACTAACAATCCTATATTTCTAAGCAGTATCGCCTTCTTTCAAGACTCCCTTATCAATCAGATGACGCAAATCAAGCTATCTGTTTATGATGTCAAAGATAGATCTCAGGGAACAGTTAAGTAGTCTTTTTTAGATTTTGTAGAATCACTTTCCTTTTCAGTCACATGATGAATTAAGTGAGATAATAGTATTTGGCTTGAGCCCCAGGTAATTCAATATGTAGCCTTAGAAACAAAGCAGAACATTTCAAAGGCATCATTGCAATTTCTTTCCTCATCTCCCCACTGTGCTCCTCGATAAGAGAACTCATGGTATGTTTTACATGAGTTCTCTTGGACTGACGTAAAAAACAAAGGATATCAATGAAACTATTTATTACAATCATTTCTTGATTGTAAGCCTCCTCTATCCCTGGCAGCCTTACACCCTCCCTCATAACAAAGAAGAACAAGCAAAAAGAAGTGATATAGTTGGTGACTTTGTCTGAAAATGTATGTAACGTTATGGTCTCCATAGTTATCTGTTTCTCTGTCAAAAGTAGTGCATTGTATTTCACTGTCTGCTCTGATTATGACAATTAGATCTTAGATTCAGAACTAGTGGGAACCTTAGACATCATGTATTCCAACCTCCTTACTTTACAGATGAAGAAATTAAGACTCGTAAGGTTGTAAATTAAGTAATTTAAATAGAAAGTGACAGAGCTGAGATTTGAACCAGAGCCTCAGAGTCGAAATTCTTTCCACTGTACCATGTTATTTGTTTTACTTGGAGCTCAACCTCCCCTTCATGTTCTTTTCATTTATATTGTTGTGGTCATCGTATATATTCTTCTGGATATTTTCTTCTGTAACAGTTGATATAAATCTCCATTTCTCTGAGGTATTCAGAGTTGTCATTTCTTATTGCATAGTAATATTCCATTACATTCATGCAACAGTGTTTGTTCAGCCATCTCCCAATCATTGGGCACCCACTTGTACCCAGTTTTTTGATACCACAGAAAGTACTTTGATGTACAGTAGATCTTTGTTTTTGACATCCTTAGGGTGTGTGCCCAGTAATGAGATTCTTACCAGACTTATTTTTTAGGCCAAATTCTTCTGTATGTCTTGTAATTGGAATATAAGAAAAACTTGTACACTAACTCTGTCGCTTTTTTTCCTCTACTCAGATGTATTTACTGGGCTCTGGGACATTCGTAGTCAAAGATCTGCTTCAGGAGAAATACCATAGGTTGCATTTAACACTAAGGTTGGTATTTACCTTTGTTCTCTTTGAAAGAGAAATATAATTCTCTTTCATTTTCCTCTAGTGGTCTCAAAAGTGCTTCTGCTTAGACTTAGTTTCTGGTTAGGGTATGACATTTAAATCATCTATGGAAACAAGATATCATAGATACATTAAAGGCAATTGTCTACCTCATAGAGGCCTAATTCATAAGCATTCTGTTAGTGGAGCAAAGTGGGAATAAACTCACTTTCTTGGGGCCACTGGGGTAATTACCATGTCCTACCCTTAGAAAAGGCATTATTTGAGAATGAGCCTTGTAACTTAAAAGCGTTAGTGCACTTCTCAGAAGTTTCCCATTTCCTAACTCTTCACAAGAAGAACCAGACCCTTGATTACTGTTTTATAAGGTCAAATTCTAGTGGATTCATGCTGGAACTGGGCAGCAGAGAGGAATGTAGTGTTTTCATCCTTGATACCTGGTATGGCATGCTAAGTCCTGCTTTTGTTCCAACAGCTTATTGTATCTGCAGTAGAAAAGGTGGGGCGTTATCATGGCACCAAACTTCCTTCTGCATTTTAAATCTTTCCTTTGGGAAGTGTGTCATTTCAACAGATTACACTGTGAGTCAGTGGTCCTCCCAGCCTCTAAGCTTACACTGTGAGGTGGTTTCTAAATAATTTCTGTCTTTAGGACTTCTTTGAGTAGTTGGGTGAAGAATGGGCTGGGCACAGGAAGTCAAGTCATCCCTTCAAAATTCTTCCTGAGTTCATTCTAGTTAACTGTCCAGGGGAATTCCTAAAGGGTACTAGTTTAGACAAGACTCTGTCTCACTTGTTTCCTAGAGCTAATTAGAATTGGGGATTGGGGAAGGAAGGAACATTGAAGAGATAGGAAAGGGGGAGTGAGAAGAGGACTCTTAGTCCTGAAGCCTAATACCAGAGTAGAAAGACCCCTCATAGCACCTGTAGACTAAAGCAGTTATTCAGATCCTATCAGTCCCAAGTTTTGATCATCCCCTAATATTCCTGAAAATACTCCAGGGTCCATAGGTGTAAATCTGTGACTTTTAGCCAGTTATCACTTTGAGCTTCTCATGTATAGCATACTTGCCTGGCATGACATACATAACAAAACAGGAAGCAAATTCACATTTTATCACGTTGTTTGTCACAGGTCTGCTGAAAATGATCGTGTAGGTAACATTACTGTAATAGGATGGCAAATGGAAGAGAAGTCAGACCAGAGGCCCCCTGTAACGAGGTCACCTGATACAGTTAATGGGAGGGTGAGTGTGTACCTTTTTTGAGCTACCAAAAGTAGGAATTGGAAGGAAAGCATAGCACAAATAGCGTTTGTTATCCAAGTCTTCATCGGAGTAATTTTCATTGATTGTTAGCTTTATGTCATTGGGAACCTCTTCATTTTCAACCCCTAAATGACCGATATTTTCCCTGGAGACCTAGGATGGTTCTCAAATTACAGTGATTGAACCTACAAATTAGTATTTATGTCATGCTGTTTGGGGGCTTCTATTTCATTGACTTTGACCTTGCTTCTTAGACACTGAAGCTTTCAGTTGAGGGTGTACTAAAGAATGAGCCACCACCAGTGATGCATGTGTGCACAGAGAGTTTCTATATGAATTGAGATAAATAGTTACAGGTGCCTACATCTCTTGGAATTAAATACATGAATATTTTTTGAGGGCCGACTCTCTGCCAGGCACTGTGCTAAATATTGCAAGTCTGCAAAAATTAAATAGAGGCCTTTAGGTGGTTGGTAGAATATCATAAGAAGTTTTTGCTTGGAAAGCAGTTGATAAAATAAGCCTGCAGAGAGGTTGGCGCGAGATCTATCTGAGCCAGTCCTTTTTGAAATCGTTTATAGAGAAACTTGCAAGGAGACAACAAACAGAGAATAGAACAGATTCATTAGTGTTTCTATAATCCATTCTCATTGACTCTGGCAATGGGACCACCATATTTGAATCCTTTCATCTCATCTCTGATGTACTATATGAAGTCACAGTGGCACTTAGAAAGTCAAAACTCAGAAGTTTCAGGGTCTGAGCAAACATGAACTGAAGAAATATTTACTGGAGATGACACCATTTTAAAGGCACTTGGGAATCAATTTTTCACGATGCCTCAAAGACAAAAAGACTCCAATGGAAGGGATAGTATCACAAACAATGCTTTTACCAAAGTAAGGCATCCAAGAAGGCATCAACAACTATGGACCCACTTGTTTTCTCATCTCTACAAAATGTTTATGAGCATGGTATATGCATGCATAAAGGAAATCCTAGATCAAAATATGAGAAGGTAGCAAACGGGCTTTTGCTGACAGTTTTCTATGGTTCCCATATGATCAGAGACCTCAGAGATCATAGAATCATAGATTTAGACTTGGAAAAGATTTAGAAGTCATCTAGTCCAAACTCTCATTTTACCGGTGAAGAAACTGAGGTCTTCAAAGGTATAGTAATGTGCCCAGAGTCACATAGCTAGTAAGTAGCAGAACAGGGATTGAATGGAAAGAGAAATTAAATTCATCTCTTAATCCCAAGATTGCTTCAGCCCTTGAGTATTATAAAGAGTCTTATTGAGAAATTTTTTCTTTCTTTCTTACTTTCTTTCTTTCCTTCTTTCCTTCTTCCTTCCTTCCTTCCTTCCTTCCTTCCTTCCTTCCTTCCTTCCTTCCTTCCTTCCTTCCTTCCTTCCTTCCTTCCTTCTTCTTTCTTTCTTTTTTTTGTAAGGCAATCAGGGTTAAGTGACTTGCCCGGGGGTCACTCAGCTAGTAAGTGTCAAGTGTCTGAGGCCGCATTTGAACTCAGGTCCTCCTGATTCCGAGGCCAGAGCTTTATCCACTGCGCCACCTAGCTGCCCCGAGAAATTGTTAACATATAGTCCCTGCTCTGAATTGATTCTCTAATTATGTGTTTCTCATGTTTGTGTTCCAAATACTATATATGACATGACAGGTCATGACTTAAAATGGAAAGTGCTGATAAGGAACATTTAACAATATTATGGCTACTTAATCTCAACCAGTGTCAATGGACAGTTCATATCCTAATATTGGATTGTAAGGTGAAAGTCCATTTTTATTGAGGGAAAGTATTGAGTTTTATCTGACATTAGATTCTTTTACCTGTGTAGAGATATTATATTCCCATGTTTCATCCATCATCTTGTCTCCAGCCCCCTCATATTACAGATGAGGAAATTAAGCCCTTGAGAGATTACAGTCTAGAAAAGTTGCATGTAAAATGATTTTTACAAAGCAAATCATACTTTAAATGTCCTAAGTGGTGAATTTGTTTACCTTGTGACTCAGTAAATTAATTGTACAGATTAAACATTGGTTTCAAGAGAGATGCTCCGTGTTTATGCAGGGTTTCTAGGCCATGATTTCATGTGTCAGGTGGCGATGAGTTGCTGCTGGATTTCACAGCCTCTTTGGTATTTCCCACATGTATCCTTTAGACTGTTCTACCAGTGGATGAAAGCTTGACAGAATCATTAGGAATCCGATCCAAATATGCTTCCTTGCGGAAAGATTCATTACTGAAATCAGGTAAGTAGTTCTCTGTATCGATCTCAGTGCCTTGCTTGTAAGCCTGAGCATGTGAACATAGAGCTAGAGAGAAAATAACTGTTCACTTCTGGTTATTACAGTAGTCTGAGTTGATTTCACTTGTCTCCTTTCTAAACATAACTGCTCTTGCCAGATGTTCATTGCATAAGTCATACATTGAGCAGGAGACGTGTTGCAGGATTATTTGTTTCTCTTTGATTTTGTGCCTTCTTCTCTCCCTTTTATCCCCACAACTACATCAGTTAGTTTAGACAAGTAGTCACAATGCTTTTCAGTGCAAAGATTGGATACGGCATGTAGAAAAATGTGTTTGGAATCAGTCCTTTTGTCATTTTTTTCCTTAGAAATGTTGTCATACACTTAGAGAGAGAGAGAGAGAGAGAGAGAGAGAGTGTGTGTGTGTGTGTGTGTGTAGTTAGAGGAACCAATGCTGAATATGGCTGAGATAGAAGGAAGGAAAATTAGAGTGACTGCCTTTCTTCCTCTTAACTCAAGTGCCATGTTCCTTTGCATTTCAGTGTTTGGTGGTGCCATCTGTAGAATGTACCGTTTCCCTACAACTGAAGGGAATCACCTAAGGATCTTGGAGCAGATGGCTGAAAGTGTCCTCTCCTTACATGTTCCTAGACAGTTTGTAAAACTCCTTCTAGAAGAAGACGCGGCAAGGTAAGAAAAGTTTGCTTGCATTTCTCTTGTAAGAAATGGATTAGTAGCATTTCGTAATGACTTAAAGGAATTTGAGAGGTCATTTCTCTTCCCCATGTTTAAAGCTATAAATAAGCTATAGCTTATTTAAAGCTGTATTAGACAAGTGAATGAAAAACTGTGCCATCTTTTAAAATGACCTTCAAAGGAGATTTTATTACCTTGCCAGAAATGCTTTCCAATGTCTAGTAGCCATTCATTTCTAAAAGTTCTTCCTTGTAATTTGCCTGAATTTCTCATTTGCCATTTAAATATTTCTCCCCATTTGATCCTTGTTTGAGATAGAGAACAGTTGATTGTCAGCCATTCTATGATGGCTCCTTAACCTTTGACTTTGGATAAAATGTTTTTGTGTGTGTTGACAATAGAAAAACCATGATTTTCATTTATCATCTATTCTCGTTTTCTGTTGTTGTCATGTGAGAGCTGGAAGGAACCTTAGAGTCATCTAGTCCAGAGGTTCTTCACCTTTTTTATGTCATGGACACATTTTTCAGTCTAGTGAAGACTCTGAACCCATTCCTAGAATTATGTTTTTAAATGCACAAAATCCAAAACATAGAATTAAAAAAGAAAAATTATACAAGATGTCTCAGAAGGCCTAATACAGTCCTAAGCTACTAAAAAAAACCCCCAAACTTGAAATAGTACTAAGATTTTTGGGACACCCTGTATTGAAATATTTATTAAGAAAATTAAAAATTTTAATTTTAAAATTAAAAAAAATTTTTTTTAAGTTCATGGACTCTTAGATAAGAACCCCTGAATTAGGGTTTATAGTGCATGAAAGACAGAAGGTTAGAAAGGTTAGGGTGGCATCAAGTTGGTGAAGAGCCTTGGGTACTGGACACAGGATTTTGGACTTTAGCCATTGGGCTGTAGGAAACCTGAGAGTTTTTGAAAAGAATAATTATGATTAAACCTTTGGATAAAATAGAAATAATAGTTCATGTACTACTTACTTTACTTCAGTGTTGTGTTAATCAAATAAGATAAGGGATACAAAAGTGTTTTGAAATCCTAAAGGTTTTTACAAATGTGGTGAGGTAATGGCCACAGTGGTTTGTTTCTATGGTCAAGTCTGTATATTTGCAAGTGGGTATAAAGTTTTCCCATTAAGAAGAGGGAAAACTATAGGAACTCTAAGGTTCTAGTTTTTACTATGCAGTATTCACCTCCTCAGTAATTACCACATAAAAAGCAAATGGCAAATCTTGCCATCTCCATATCAGCTTTCTTAGAGTAATGTTGATTTGTAAAATTATTACAGAATGTACCTTTATTTTCTTTTCCTTGGACAAGCTAGGCCCTCTTGGGGTTGCTAGAGAGGCTTCTCATTGTCTCTTAAGTTGTTATAGTACTCTACAAGGCAAGAAATAAATCTTAGCATGGGCTCTCTTTCTATTGATTAGTATATAGTTTGGATCTGAGTGGTAAGATGTGAATTCTCAAAAGTGGTAAGTGGAAAGCTGAGGTGACACCATCTCCTAGATAGAGTCCGTATTGTTCTTTCTGAAAAAACTCCTTTTTACAATACCACTTACCTATTTTTGAAGGGAGTTTGAATTATAGCTTTGATGAAAGTTATAGGAATGATCATATAGAAGGGGAAGCCCATTTAGGAAGTAAGGTCTGTTTTCTAAATGGTAAAACTCAGAAATTTTAGAGGTAATGTGTTACAGTAGAAAATGTTCTGGCATTGGACTCAAAAAATCTTCATTCAAATTCTATCTCTACCACTTTCTGTTTGTTAGACTTTTAACAAATCAGTTAATCTCTGGGTCTCAGTTTCTTCATTTGTAAAATGAACAGGTTCAACCAGATGGCTTCCAATGTGCTTTCTAGCTCTAAATTTATGGTCCTGTGATTTTTATTTTTAAATTCATGAACAGAACTATTATTTGGGTGGCTAACATATTTCTGTGTCATGGAATAAACAAACCCAGGAAGCTGGAAATGCAATTTTATTTATTTAATTTAAAGTATTACTTTTCATTGAGTTTGCGCTGCCAGCTGGAACTCTTGAGACTTTAGAATACCTTAGTTCAGTGTTTCAAAAACTAATTTTGTAAAGGTGGCAGTTTAGAGGCAGCAACTCAGCTGAACTGTCCCAACAGCTTTAAAAAACACCTTAAATCAAATTGTGGAGTGGCAGAGCCAACAAAAGGTCAGAGTGAGACTTTTTTTAAATTAATTTATTTTGATTTATCAACAATCACTTCCATAAGCTTTTGAGTTTTAAATTTTTCTCCCTCACCAAGATGATGTGCAATCTGATGTAGGCTATACATATACATTCCTATTGACATATTTTCGCATTAATGATGTTGAAGGAAGAATTAGAACCGATAGGAGGAACCACCAGAAAGAGGAAACAAAACACAATAGAAGAAAAAAAAATAGCAAATAGTACACTTCATTCTGCATTCAAACTCCATAATTCTCAGAGTGGGACATTTTTCCAGTATTAATGTAACTTAGGAGGTCAACAGCAGAGGTCTGTGATACTGGAATTGGGGCCAGTTGGGAGTGCACTTGGTGGCAACAACACCAGCGGTGAGTATTGGAGGCAGCCACTACAGCTACAGTAACTTCAGGAGCTCCCAGCCCAGAGATGGCAAGGGGATTGGACAACTGGTCAACAGAAAATTACAGTGGACCATTTTCTGGCACCGAGTGGACCTGCTGATTGGCAACTCTGTTGCCCATATATAATATGAGTTAGAGTTCCCAGGCAGAGAGGAGCACTTGCGTTGGGCTTCGGGAGAGCAAGGGACCCTCGTCACAGTTCCAAGGCAGAGAGGAATGTTAGCACTTGTGGCTTCCGGGGACCAAGGACCCTTTGCTGCAATGGACCTGGGGCCCTTCCTGGGTAGGGACTAGAACACCAACCAGGAGAGCCATGTTCACACCTCTTCCTGGATCACAGTACTTTGGAAGCACTGAAAACTTGCAGACCTCCCAGAACTAGCTCTGAAAACAGCAACACAAAAAAGCCTAAAGCTTGGGACAGTGCCACCCCACTCCCAGGGCAAGCAAAGCCCAACTTTAACATAAAGTTCAAAGTCAAGAAGTAGAAATTCAAGAACTTCAAAAAGGAATAAATAACAAAAAAGGAACTTGACCATAAAAAGCTACTACGGTGGGAGGGATGACAAGACATAAACTCAAAAGACAATGTGAAAACAGGTACAACCAAAACCTCAAAGAAAAATGGTATTTGGACCCAAGCCAAGAAGTATTCCTCTAAGAGTCAAAGAAAGAGACAAGAGTGATAGAGGAAAAATTTGGGGGAAAAAAGAGTGATACAAGAAAATAATCAAAAGAGAATTAACAGCTTGGTAAAAGAGGCACTAAAAATACTGAAGAAAATATCGCCTTAAAAATAGAATTGACAGCTCCTCTTCTAACTCTAAATCTATGATAATCACAGAGGGAAAGTTTATGTATGTATGTATGGAAATATTTGTAGCGATACTTTTTGTGGTAGCAAAGTACTGGAAACAGAGAATGGACCCGTCAGGCAGGAAATGACTGAATAAATTGCGAGTGTTAGAATGTAATTGGATATTATTCTACCATAAAGAAGATGAAGAATTCAGTGAAACTTGGGAAAATTTACATGTTTTGGTTAGATTTGCCTAGATCTGAGAAAAGTACCTTGAGATCTCCAACAATTATCATTTTGTTGTCTTTTTCTTTCTGTAAATCAATTTTTCCTTTAAATGTTTAGATACTATGCTGTTCAGTGTGTTTGTATTAAGTACCTATATTAATACATTATTTCTGGTGCCATTAAACATGATGTCATTTCCCTACATATCTCTTTTAAGCAAGTCTGGTTTTACTTTTGTTTGGTCTGCAATCATGATTCTTAGCCCTACCTTTTTGAGTTCACCTGAAGTATGATAGATTTTGCTCCATTCCCCTTTTTTGATTATGTGTGAATGTTTCTATTTCAATTGTGTTTCTTGTAAACCTCATATGTTCTTCTGTTCTATATTCTAACCCATTTTGCTATCCTCCATGGCCACAGTTAAAGTTATTTATTTCCCTCCATCTTATCTTTTTATATCTTTCCTCATCTTTGCCTCCCATTTCTCTCTTTATAATCAAGAAGAGATTTTTGAGAGAGGAACGTACACAACACTAATGACCTGTGTTTTAGACAGTCTCCTTCTATTCCACTTTTCCTCTTCTATTTCATTCACCCAGTCCCCAATTATAGGTTCTTTAGAAACCTTTTCATTTTATTACTTCCATGTTCCATATATTTGTTACCCCCATTTATCAATCCCACAGACCTTTCACATTCTCTCCAAAGAGGGAATTGGCTTTGCTTATTACTCATCCCTCCCTGAATCTACTCACATACTCTTAATCCCCATTTCATTTTCCATGTCTTCTTCTGATTCCCTGTTTGAATTTAATCTAATTCTGTGTGTGTGTAGGTGTTCACCCTCCTTTATCCAGTTTCATATGAACATGAGGTTCATACTGCAGCCCTCTCTCCAACTCCTTCCTCCATGTTTGTATAGTTTTTTTTTCTTGAACCTTGATTAAAAGACATGTATGAATTGATGCATGGGGAAGTAAACAGAACTAGGAGACCAATTTACACAATGACCACAGAGATGTAAAAGAAAATGATATTGAAAGACTTTGGAACCCTGATCAATGCAGTGATTCCAGAGAACTGACTTTGAAGCATATTTGCCTCTCAGAATGCAGTTTATGTTGTTAGATATGGGCAATGTATTGATTTGTTTGGCCTAAAGTATGTTTCTTTGTCACAAAGTAGAGTTCTTTTGGGAGGGTAAGGAGGAGGAGTCATTATAAAGTAACATGGCTTTTTTTTTTAAAAGAATAACTAACACTTCCATTTAAGAAACAGTTACTCACTACTTTAAACGTGAGCTCCTTGTCCAGGAACCGGGTGTGCATACAACTAAAGGAAATGT